GTGGGCGCGCGTCGTTTTTCGTGGGCGCTCGTGGTGTTTCGCGTGTGGTCGGGGTGGGTGCTCATGTGGACGCGTCATCATGTCGTGTCGTCGTCCTGGCGTGTCGTTGACACATCATCGTCGTGTCAGTGGGCGGTGGTGGGTCGTGGTGGTGGGCACTCATCATTTTTTGTGGGTGCTCGTCGCCGTTCGTGGGTGCTTGTCGTCGTTCGTGTGTGGTGGGGGTGGGCCCTCGTCGATTTTCGTGTGTGGTGGGAGGTGGGTGCTCGTCGCGGTTCGTTGACGGTGGTGGGCCCTCGTCATTTGCCGTGATGTGGGTTGCCGTTGCGTGGGGTCGTTGGCGCCTGTCGTGGTGAGAACAGAGGGATGGGGTGGGGCCAACGGTACGTTTGGCCCGTGACGTGGCAACGTCATGGGCACTGTCCCTCATTCCGCATTCTCTTGTTGTCGTGTTTCTCGTGCGTTGGTGGGGATCGTCGGCGTGGGTGTCGCTGGCTTCGCAGGTTGTTGAGGTGACATGGCGGTGAGGGGGTGGTCGATGTCGGTGGTGGTGGTGGAAGGAAAGGGAATGGGATGGTCACGGAAGTGTGACCACGCCACAAACAGGAGACGTGACGATATGGGACACCCTCAAGTAAGTCATGTGACTTCACCCTGCAGACTGAACAAAATCATGAATCCTTATTGCAGCTATCACTTACCTATACTAATATGTAAATCATTACCCTTCTATTCATATTTGTATTTGATCAATAAAATTAGAAGTCTGGCTTGTTCATTGTCTAGTCTATTTTCGCTTTTTGTAGTATTCATAATTAATAAGTAATAAGCAATAATGCACTGGAATCACTTGAATCCACTGGACTCCAGTGGAATCCAGTGGACTATGACTGGACTTGTAGTCCACTGGACTGGGACTGGACTCAGGAAAGTGGCTTGTAGTCCAGTGAGAGTCCAGTGGACTGGACTGGACTGGACTGGACTTGAGTCCAGTGGACTGGGCATTGTGCAAGCCAACTTGGCCTAGCAACTGGGCCACTGGAATCCACTGGACTCCACTGGACTCCACTGGAATCCACATGGATTATGTGGGGGATGGTAAAGACCTCCCTCGCGTCTGTTACATGGTAAATTGTTCATCGTTGATAAAAATAAATACATTAGATATACTAATGAAGAGATATGGAGGTATGCCTTTGGCTGCGTATGTCAATGTGTTTAAACTGATAGCGTCTATTCAGCCCATGACTCAATGCCGCCAGTCGTGTTCGCCAAACACTGTGCTCACGTGATATGTGGCAACTGGCCCTAAAGTGAACCGAAGATAAACAGGCTGCAAACCATTTTCAAACTTCTTTCCAACTTCCATGTTCCATCCTAGTAGTTTGTAGAGTACATACCCAGTAGAAACAGTTGTGCGTCGCTAGTGAATTTCCAATGACTATAAAAGTAATACAAATTTTAGGAAAGCCGAAATCATGCAATCGGAATACAGTGAGAGAGTAATGAAACATAGAAAACTCAAGGCAAGTTCTCTCAATTCTTGTGAGCTTTCGTAACAAGCTAATCACGCTATAGTCACCAGAAGTCCTTCGGTTTTTGGATCTTGAAGCTCAGGTATCCAAGGTGGAAACAGATGATCAGATTGGCAGCGATGAAGGTATGTATCATACATTGTAATTGTTTTTAGT